GGACAAGGGCAGCCAGGAGCAGAGGAGATGCTGCCTAAGGTGTGAAGGCCCCTGTCTTATCCCTCCCTCTCCTGTCAGGGCTTATGTCTTGATCTCCTAGAGCCTGCTGTGCTCCTAGGCAGGGCTTTTGAGAGGTGATGGAGTGGTGGGCCCAGAGATAAGTGTGCTGTTAGGCGCCGGGGCCTGTGGGAAAGTGTGGGCTGCAGGGCGGGGTGTGGGAGGGTTCGCCTCCCTCCCAACGCTTCTCTTAGCATTGTGCTTCCTGTGCTCTCTTCTGCTCAGGCCTTCCACCACGCTGTCCACCTTGCAAGGAATGAAATTTCTAAGTGGCAAGCCAGAATGAACCTCTCTGCCTGAGAGTTGCACATGTTAGGTATTTTGTCCCTGCAGTGAGGAAAGTGACCAAGGTGCCTCCACTTCTCTCATCTTGTGCTACTAACCAAATGTTAGGGTGCTGGAGAGAGGAGGTGCTGAGAACAGGAGAAATGATAAAGCATTTCAGGGCCCACCTCTCAGCATCTTCGTGGCCTCCCCTGTGCCTCCTCGCCCCACTGCTTCTGCCCTGCTAAGTGTGCTCCTGCCTGGGGCCACAGCACTCTGGGTGGTGCTTATCTTGCCCCCCTCAGCTCTGCTCTGGTGCCTCCCCTTTCAGGGAACTCTCTCAGGCCCCAACCTAACATGCCTTCTTATCCTGCCTCCTGATTGCCCACACAACTTCCAACCTTTGACATATTACCAAATGTGTTTACTGTTTCTGCCCCCAAGCCCCTGAGCATGTCAGTGCTGTGAGGACACCACGTTCAGTTTGCTCATTCAGTGCGGTAATCATCACTGCATACAACAGTGCTGGGAAAGAGTAAGATTCCTAGTGAGTACTGATTTAGTATAATTGTCTTACTTTTTTTTTTGCGGTACTGTGGACTGAACTCAGGACCCTGCTCTTGCCAGGCAAGCACTTATTGTACTGAGCTATCTCCCTAGCTATTTATTGAATGAATGGAAGAAAATAAAGAGATAAAGAGGTGGTCAGTGGCCAGGTGATGCTCTCCAGGACTCCAGAGGGAAGTAGACCAGACACCCTAGGAGGACTGGGTCCTCGCTGACTATGGTTAGGCCAGGTGGCTCTGCCTCCCTATCCAGCCACAGGGCAAACTCTCAGGAAAGGAAAAAATGGTTTCAGTGAATGAAATTAGCCACGTAAAGCAAGCCTTATCCACAACAGTTATGTGCTCGCTTAGGAACGCAGAGTGCAATCATCACGTAATTCGGGCTTGACACCCTTGCCCTCAGAGTCATTGATTAGTTGGGTGTGGTGGCACACACCTGTGATCCCAGCACTCAGGAGGCCAAGGCTGGAGGATCCTCTTGAATTCCAGACTAGCCTGGGCTACAAAATGAGCTCAAGGCCAGCCTGAAAAATAGCAAGACCCTGTCTCCAAAGGACAAAAACCAAAACAAAACAAAACAAACTCACCAATTAGAGAGAGACCCGAGTTTCTAAAGCCTGAGCAGCCTGTGAGCAGGCCCTGCCGCAGACCCACTAGGATGGGGTTTCCAGGATTTCCAGCTCGCCACCCTCCTCGCTGGGGAGAGCGCTGTTCCTGGCTCCACAATGCTCTCCCTGTAAGTGTTCATTCACAATCACTGGGCTGCTGCACATGCAGTGATTAGGAAAGCAAGTCAGTCAGCACAGGCAACAGAAGCCATGGGTCAAAAGCCACTGGCTAATCACCCTGTCACTGGTCAATTAACCATTCCCATGAAGAGGTACCGCTGATCTAGTTTCCTATCAATAAATGTCTATCTGGGTACATCAGCTGCTGGTTAAGTGCAGCCTGCTAAGACGTCCAGTGGTACTCCACAGCCACTGGTGCCTAGGAAATCTCTCTCCTTTTCTCTTAATAATGTCACAGAAGAGGTAAATGCAGTTCCTGACAACATAATGTTAGTTTCACCGAGACGTGTCTCTTTGAACGCTCAGCTAGTTATACAGAACTTCAATTGCATGGATTTTCTTACTGAAAAAACAATAGCTGGGCTGAAGGAAGTTGGAGGCTTCATACTGTGCTGAGATATACAATTCTGCTTTTGGTTATGGTCCTGCTCACCATCTTCCCCTCCGAGTTAAGAAAAGAAAAACTGTTTGGGGGAACCATTTTTACTCCCCATTTAAAGAAACCAAATGGGCACTGGTTTCTCTTGCCTTAAGCCCAAGACACATTTTTCTGGATTCCAATTCAGCATCTCTGATATCTGGAAGAGTGCAGGGCCAAGGTAGCCTTGGGCCATGAAGAAACTGTTTGTCTCTGAGCTGTCACCCTGGCAACAACCCCATAAGGTCCCTGCTGGATCTAAAATTGTAGATTTCTTACAATACCTATCATCATTTTCCCCTCTATCTTGACAGACTACCTCATCAGCACATGCAGCCTGTCAAGAAGCTTATTCTAAGTTGTCACTGGTCTTATATATCAGGTGAAGCTGGGAGGAGTCAGCAAATAAACAGTTACATGACAAATGCCATGACAGGAACTGTATACAGAACATACAGGATGGTGGAAGGGGGACGTCTCAATAAGCCCAGGAAATGACTGAAGACTAGAGAGGCATTCCTATAGGGTGACATCTAGAAGCAAGAATTAGAGTCATGTATAGTAAAGTGACATATCCCTCTACCACAGGTACTTGGGAGCCTGAGGAAGGAAGACTACAAATTCATGGTTAGTCTGGATAACTTATTGAGAGCCTGTTCCAAAATTAAGAAAAAAGGCTGGGAATGTAGTTCTATGGCAAGTGTGAGACCATGAGTTCATTCTCCAGTACTTTAAAAAGAAAGCCAGTAAAAAAGGGCAATGAGAAGTAGGAAGAGGTACATGCAATGAGAAGGGCATGGTCAAAGGTTTGAAGGCATGGGAGCTAGACAGGGCAGGACTCACACGAAATTCTCAGGAGGTGTGGTACATGTGGACTAGGTAACCTGGTGCAGACACAGCAGACAGGCTGTATAGGCAGGTAAATCAGCACATGCTCAAATGCTTCAGTCCGAACTTTCTCTAGAAGGCAAACATCCACAAATCCTCTTGTGAAGAAGTGTGGCTGCACTGGACTTGTGGTAACTGGTGATGGACAGGTGTGTGGGCACAAAGGAGGCTGGGATGGAAGTCTAAGACCAGGTAGCAAGTGAAACTACAAAGGTGCAACTATGCTAATGACACTGAGGCAGCAGAAGGGGACTGAGGAGGCAGTGTGCCGGACAGTCGATGGGGAGGGGGAGGGAGGGATGAGAAGTGCCACTGAATGAGATGGGAAGCACAGCTGAGGCGACTTGATGGGGAAGGGGAGGACAATGGAATTCCATGTCAGATGTCTGGGTTTGAGATGCACATGGAACACTGTTAGACGGGGCAGTGGGAGGGACATGGAGTGCCTGAGCAAGCGGAACACTGAGAACATTAAAAGAGAGTGGGTAGAACTACTAAGCTGCCCATTTGCTTCAATCTTCATTGGCAAGAACACTGGCCTACAAATTAGAAATGGCAGAACAAACATAATAAAGAGAAAATTGAAGTCCCAAATAGGTGAAGTGAAAGAAAGAGTATCTAGTCAATTTAAATGATTTCAAGTCCCCTAGCTCAGATGAGTTACACCCCAAGCCTGCTGAAAGAAATTGCAGATGTAATCTCAGAAACACGACTGGCAATCTGTAAGACATCGTGGGGACTGTAAGGAGTGCTAGCAGACAACAGGAAGACAACTGTTTTCCACAATTTTAAAGTGAAGAGAGATAGATTATCATGGGAAATGTACAAACAAGTTCTACATCATCTATGGCAAAAATCCTAGAACAGCTTATTAAATAGATAGTTGGTGAGCAGTTAACACACACAGCTGAGAAGGAAGGAGAGATGGCGTCTGTGGCTTGGAAGCATTTATTTGTACAGTGGTTTATCTGGAACGGCTGTGGTTGGCCTTTTCCCCTTCCCAAGCACAAAGCAAGTTATCTTGGTCTGTAGTCTGAACGAAAGGCTTCTCTGCCTCTGACTTGTTGCCCATGGCAATCAGCCTGTGATGTGGCCCTTGATTAAGAGGAGTTGACACTTTAAATGAAAGAACTGACAGTCTGAAGCAGCCAAGCCGTCCAGCGTCAATTCCTCAGGGTGCCTGAAGAAGCCGCATCAGCCTAAACATCACCAACCTGCGCCCATTCGCCTCCTACTTGACTCATTTTTCTGTTAGTTCTTGCTTTGTACAGACTGCTGTTAAAAAGAGATCAAGAAACAACGAAGCAAATGTAGCACAGCACGATGGCGTAAGGGCAGCCACGACCTACCAAGCCCCTACCCCAGGCAGCTGTACACAGGCAAACAGGCTGTCAGACACTGCCACAGAAGCCCGGCCTCACAGGCCTCCTGACAACCACGGCAGAGCAGCAGCCTACGTGAGGCCCAGGTGGTCCCACTGCACTAAGTACACCCTCTGTGTGATGGCGTCAGGCTTGTGCTTAAAAATGACCCGATCCTACGGAACAAGAAAAGTCCGTGTTCCTTTCTTAAAAGGAAGCAAAATCGAATAGCAATTGGCAACCCCAAACACAAAGGTACTAAGAAGATTTTTAACCAGGCTTTGTATTCACATTTGTTGTAGTCATGCATACAATCTTTTATTAAAGGTGGAAGTGGCTTTTCACTTTATGTATCCTCTCTTGACATGATCCTGTGCTTCTACCTAATATAAGCTAGATTTGAGAAGAGGGCACGTCACTCTAGAGAAAGGCCCGCTCTCTGCCCCCACAAGTCTAATTCTGGTGCATCTTCCCACCAGAAAATCCGAATAATCACCTGATCCCCACGGTTCCTTCCTTTCCGCCCCAACCCCTTCCTGATATTTATAGTAAGAACAGCTGAGTTTCTTCACTGAAGTTACTGAGGTCATCATTTTGTAAAAATACAATTTTTGCAGCAGTTTCCATTTTAAAACTAGTGAATGACAAGAAATCTTACCGGATCGACCCAATCATGTATGGTTGTGCCAGCTGAACCACAATCGCACCACTTCCTAGCTGGTGACATGTGTAGCCAGAGTCCCAATCGTAATTCTTGGTGTCCCCATTCAGCAAGGCGTTTCGGCTCCGACTGACTCCTTCAATCACACTGGCACAGTCAGCAATGGTTGCCACATTCTCTGTGGGAACTGTGAATCCAAACGTAAGATTTGGCATCAAGATAAGAGAAGCCAAATATACCTCAATAGCATGCTCAGGACAGAATTAATTACTATCTCAAGTCAACAATAAAAGGGAAACTAGAACATCTTGATTATCCTTAGGATATGAGGTTTCTATGCCAAATAATAAGAAAAAAGAGACTTTGAGTTTGAAACAATACAAATTATATGTAGCAACTAACCCTAAAGTATTTTATTATAAAGAAACAGCCTACAAAATGCAGAATAGATAAATATGTTGTTGTAGAATATTACTACAATGAGAAATTTCATAGCCATTGGAGAGACAGAGAGAAGAGAGAGAGGAGAGAGAGAGAGGAGAGAGAAGAGAGGAGGAGAGAGGAGAGAGAGGGGAGAGTAGAGAGGGAGGAGAGAGGGAGGAGAGAGGAGAGAGAGTAGAGAGGAGAGGAGAGAGAAGAGAGGAGGAGAAAGGAGAGACAGAGAGAAGAGAGAGTAGAGAGGGAGGAGAGAGGGAGGAGAGAGGAGAGAGAGAAGAGAGAGGAGAGGAGAGAGAAGAGAGGAGAGAGGAAAGAGAGAGGGGAGAGGAGAGAGGGGAGAGGGGAGAGGAGGTGATGAGGAGAGAGAGGAGAGAGAAGAGAAACAAGAGAAGAGAGAAAAGAGAGGGGAGAGAGGGAGAGGGGGAGAGAGAGAAAAGGGGAGGGGAGTGCAGGGGAGGGGAAGGAGAATGAATGAGAATGAGTATGAGTTACTGGAGACTGATCCCAGGTCCACACGCGCGCTGAGCGGGGGAGCTACACCTCACCCCAGCATCAAGACTAATGAGTTATAGCACACACATATGTTGGGCAGAAAATTCATAAATTTAGAATTCATAAAGCAAAAAAGTAATCCAGGACACAGTACCAATTCCTTTTCAGAATATACAGTTGGTCTCGGCCATGATTCATTTCCTTTTTGTGTTTACTATTCTGTGCACTGCAACACATACGCTTTGCCTTTGTTCACGAACTGCGGTATCTTGAAAAAACAGCTGTGTTTTGATTCAGAGTCTCTCTATACTTCAAACCACATAAATCAGCTCATTTTTAAAGTCAAGAGCTTCCACCAAAAGATGGTTCTCAACATGATATTCTCTAAACAGTGAGAAGAGTGATACAAAGATAAGGCCATCTTCAGTCCCCAAGGCCTTGTCTGTACATTTAAGTTATTCAGCAATAATCCACAATTGTCTTTAAATATTTAGGTCATTTAACTAACGTTTACAATGGCAATCTGCTATACTTTTTGGAGAGCATACTGCACTGTCCGAGAAAGAAGAGGGTGACCACTAGCACCGCCATCCCAGAACACTTCCAGCTTGCTAATGATGCTGAGTACACAATCAGACATGTACCTGTCGGGGCGATCTGCTTCCCAAAGCTGGACAGGCCTGTGCTTAAGCCTTCATCGCACACCTTCACTCACTGCTCTGCTTGCCGAAAATCAGGAAGGAAGGGGCGGGGAGGAGAAAGAGGGCAGCTTTCAGGCGGCGGGTCTGTGGACTATGAGCACAGCTCCAACGTAACAAGCAGAGCACTGGTGGCATTTCCTGTATGGACAGTTTCCTGTCACAGAAAGGGGCTCAGAGAAAAGCTCCCTATGACTTCGTAGCACAACAGATGTAAAGGACTAACCACAGAGCCAAGTTCTGACACCAGAAAAGAGGCGGCGCACTGTGATCTGGAAGTGACAACTTAAGGAAGGGGCAAGAGGCAGTGCAAATTGAGCTGAGACATAAGACAACACCCCTGGCAGGCTATGCCACAGTAACAGGCAGCACCCCATCCTTAGTGCAATACACATTTATTTTCCACTCACATTCTGCATTCAATCAGCTGAGCAGCTCTGCTCACTGTGCCACTCAGGGATTCCAGTGACAGAAGCTTCCCTCTGACATGTGTTTCTTCAATCACAGCAGCAGAGGGAAGAGAATGAGCTTTGCACGGGCTCTTAAACAATCCCACATAGTGCACTGGTCAAGACAAGCCATGTGGCTTTACCTGACATCACAGGGTTAAGTAGAGTAGAGAGCAAGCCTGCTGTGCACACAGGGCAAGGGACCCAGGGAAAGAAGGGAGGATTTGATGGACAATGTTAACATCTCCCACAAACACTAAGTCAGGTTGAAGGAACATTCATAAGAAGGTAAGTCTGGTCATTTGTTTAAAGTATATACGGTATTCTAAAGTAGAAACATGCCAAGATGTATGGTTTCACACTGAAGGACATTTAGGTAGATATCATTTTTTTTTTAATTATTACTACAAACAAAGGGTCTGCTTATGTTCCGGTGTGGTGGTTTACATCTCAATGTCCCTAAAGCCTCGTGGGCTTGTAAGCTGGGCTTTTGGGAGGTGACTGGATTGTGGGGGCAAGGAGCTGACTGGAATGCCGATGAGTCCACTGATGAGTTGATAGCTGGAAGTGATGCTGGGAGGTGAAGCCTGCTCAGAGGTGGCTCGCTGGGGATGTGGCCTGAGAGGTCAGCGTCAGTCTCTCCTTCCTTGATGTCTCTCAGCTTCCTGCCACCATGTCAGAGCAACCCTTCTCCGCCATGGCTTTCTGATGAGTCACCCTACCTTGATCCCAGTCATCTGTGGACTGAAATGTGTACAAAATGTGAGCCCAAATAGCGAATCTTTTCTAAGTTGTGGCTGTTGGTACACATATATATTCATATACATATTTATATTCATGGCTATGGGTTATTTTCAACTACCATAGACCTTAACAAGTTATCCACCGAAACTGTAAAATTTCACAATCTCTATTAATTTCTCCATACCCTCACTCTTAGTAATATCAGATAAATATAAAAGGAGAGAGAGAGAGAGAGAGAGAGAGAGAGAGAGAGAGAGAGAGAGAGAGAGAGAGAGAGCCAGCCAGCCAGCGACAGAGAGACAGACAGATAGACACAGATGGAGAGTTAGAGACAAGAGAGACAGACAGACCAACAGACCGACTGACTGACCAACCATCTGTCCGTCTGTCTGTCTTGGAGTTGAAGGCAGTGCCTCTTATATGCTGGGCAAGTGCTGAACCACTTCCCTAGCTTTTTTTTTTTTTTTTTTAAACTGAGGACAGGGTCTTGTTAAGTTGCGCAGGATGGCCTTAACTTTGTGATTCTCCTGCCTCAGCCTGACCAGGAGCTGGGAACACAGACGTGAGCCACTGTGCCTGGCTGAATGTGGTGCTAGTGCTTCAGGAGTTCTGTTAGATAAGCCTAATCATACCAGCCAACTACAGGGATCACGCTCCATCTCTCCTGAACTAGCAATTTTTCTCTTTTGTCTTTTTCTATTATCTTTACAACTGATTTGCAGGATGTCAATTTTTTGTAGACCAGCAGAGTGAGGTGAATTATTTAGTCCCTTCCTTTATGAATTTTGCTTTTTTAACTTCTTTAGACACTCATTCCCACATCAAATTCATAAAGATATTTTCCTATGAAAGTTTTGGATTTTATTTTCATATTTTTAAAATCTACTTAGAATTTGAGAGATAGGGATTATTTTCATCTTTTATTCATAACGATGGCAGATTTCCCAAGTACCATTTAATGAACAGTTCAACCTTCCCCATTAATTTATTACTTTAGTCACATATAAAGTTCTCCTATATATTTGCATCTCCTTTTAAAATCTGTATTTTGTTTTACTGATTGATTTGTCTTGTTTTCTGCCTTTATCATGCTGTTTTAGTTACTATAATTTTATGGTAGTACTAAAATCTTTCCTCCCTGTCCCTTTTTCTTGCAAATTACCTTAGATTTCCTTGATGCGTCTGGAACAACTTTACATTTTAGGTTATCAAATATATCTGACATTAAGATTTCCATAATATATCTTCTTTATTCCAAATATGTTTATTTACATCTTTCATGTTCAATCCTCTGTAGGTCTGTCTACTTTAGCTTTCAAAGAACCAACATTTTTTTCTTTATTTCATTAATTCTTCTCTTCATTACTATTCTTCTCTCTGCTTCTTTGGATTTACTTACTTCTACTTGAAGTGAATGTTTAACTCATTAATCTTTTTCTTTTCTAATAAGCATGTTTGTCTATTACACTTCACGTCTAACTCTTGCTTTACCATTATCTTCAAGTTGCAGTACACGGTACAGCGTTTTAGAGTGTTGGTCAGACACTATACATAATGTCTGTGCAGATGAGCTTTTCTGATACATGATATTTTATCTTTTTTTTTTACTGGTACTGGAGATGGAACTCAAGACCCTGTGCTTGCCAGGCAGGTGCTTAAGCCACTGAGCTACCTCCCAGCCCATGATACATGATATTTTATTTTATTTTATTTTAGTATCTGACATAGGGTCTCACTATGCAGCTCAGACTCATAGTGATCCTCCTATTTTCAGCCTCCCCAGCACTGGGATTATAGGTGTGCGCCACTACCCCTGGACTCGGTGGCTGGATCAGCATGCCTGGGGGTGTGGCAGTGTGGCATGTGGTGCTGGGGATCAAACCCTAGTCCCTGAGCTTGCCTAAGTGGGCCTTTAGTTTGCTGATCTATCTCGCCAGCCCTATACTTGATATTTTAACAGATGAATGTTTCCAAATATTTTCTAATTCCTATTACGATTTTTTAATTCAGATGTATGTTTTTAACTTAGTAAGCTTCTTTTTTTTTTGTCATTTTCTGAGTTTTAAACACAATGCACACAAAAACATGTGAGCTATACAGTATTAACTGGGCAGAATCTGAGTCATGTCTTTCACTGAGGTGGTCAGGTCTAATTTTCTTGTGTTTATATAATTTCTGTGGTTTCTTTTGTCATTAACTTCTAGTTTCATTGCACTATGATCTCTAACATGCATGAGGCAGTTTTGATTCTTTTGCATTTACTTATGCATGTTTTATGGGCTAGCACATGGTCCGTTTGGGAGAAAGCCTCACATGCTGCTCAGGAGATGTGGTTTCTGTTGCTGCTGGGTGGAATACTCTGTAGA